TTTCGAATTGATGAAATCGAAAAGTGGATGAACTTATTAAGGATTTCATTAAAAATTTTTTGGATTCATAAGCTACTTTAAAATATATAAAAATAATACATATATATGTATTTTATACTTTAACTTTGAAGATATTTCGAAACTTTATTTTAGTAAGGGGGAGGAAGATGATATGGTAAAGTAAATACAACCCTGTATGATGGTTAGTATAGTATTCAGTAAACGAGACCCCTATCATCTATCTATTGGCCGTAAATCACAAATAAATTTGTCCACTTTAGTGGCTAGTAAGAAAGGCATAACAGAATTCGAAGTCACATCTGTACGTTGGGTAGCATCTGAGGCCTTTGGCGATGTGCCAACAACTGAAATGTCCTCGTACATCCAACCAAAAGCTGTAACAGTATATTTGTCACATATAATGCTCAGATAACAACTTCCTGTACCAGCTGTTTACAAGTTACAAATCATTATAATTAAAACAGATCGTAAAGATTAATGAATTGTTAAGGATATCCGTTTAACTCTAACTAGTCTTTTAAATTGTTTACTTGTAACTGTGGGATATCGTAGATAAAATTAATTATATTAATACGTTCAACAATTAAAACGTGGTAACATATAAGTATTATTTTTAGAAAGATGCTTAGTTACATTTGTGAAAACACGAATTTTATATTTAAAGAATAAATAATTATAATATATCTTGATATATTAATTAATATTAAATGAAATTTGTTTTAATTTTTAAAATTTTAATATTTAAAAATAAAGTTATAAAATTATATATATATATTAATTAAGTGTATGTAATATATTTTTATATTTTTTAAATAAATAAATATATTTAAAATTTATTAAAAATAAAGAAATTAATTTAAAATTTCGTATAAGAAATATTTTTGATTGATTTGTTTAGTTACTTCTTAATTTTTACGATAAAAAATGCAAATATTTTGATTAATAATATTTAAAAACAGTAAAATGGAATTTAAAAAAGTGCTAAAACTCCCTTCTAGCAAATGAATAGATTTTTAAATTATTAAATAATTATCAAGCATAATAATTAAATTAGTTTTAAAATATTTTCAAAATAAAAAATTGAAAACATGTTCAAGACTTAATTAAAATTGGAATTTATTGTTATTAATCTCTACTATATGGAATTAAAACTATTTAATATTTAACTGTTTAATAGTTACAAAGAAATGCCTCAAATGAAAGGAAACGTTTCTGTAATTGTAAATTAAGAATTAATAAAAACGATAATTTATTTTTAAGAAATTTTAATTTATATTTTTTATAATTTTTCATATTTATGATTTTTTATATCTTTAAAATAAGCCGCATTTATGGTAAACAAATTCAAACCGTTAACTCAAAAATTTTTGATCGATTTTAGGGAATTTCACACTTTAATAATATCATATTTGGAGGAAAAAACAACTTTTCGCCAAACCTGATTCAGTTATTAAATATCACAGAAAGTAAATTTTCCTTATTTAACAACCGCTTTTTAAGTAAAAATATTTTAAAAACAGAAAAACATTGATTTATTTTAAAATCTCTAGATTTTTTAAGATTTATTATTATGAAAATAAACAATATTTAACTATAGAATTCAATACAGTCTTATATTTAAATATTAAACTTATAGCCTATATTTCTTATTCTGTATCTGTAGTATAAAAACACAATTGAAGGTTTTCACATGTTCTTCACGCCGTTACCTAGTGCATGCTTTCTGAACTCTTCAATCGAAGCATACAGTTAGATGTTTGATGTCTCTAGTGGGAATTACCTTATCTTTACAAACATACTACAACGGATTCACGATTTCTCAATAGGTCTTTCATCAATATCATTTCCTTGAATTTTTTACTACATATAGTTTTATATATATGAATTTTTATTATGTAAAATTCGAACAATTTCAAAATAAAATATAAGAAAATTTATATAAAAATTAGACTTGAAGAAACGGTTCCCTTTAAATATTAACGCGACAATCTTTGCAATTGGTGTTGCAGTTTTAATAAAACGGAAAATATTTTATTATTTTTATTTTGTTTTAATACTAATAAATAATTTGAAAGTGATTTCGACTTTAATATAATTTTAAAACCATGTTTATTACATATATTTTATTTTTATTTTGTGTAATGAGTTATCCATAAATCACTTTGTGTTCACTATATTGTATGCTTTAACTATTTATATGGACTTTCTGCTTACTCTACTCATACCCTTCAAGATTGATTCAACGATTTCCCATATTCTCTTAGAAATGTTTCTATTGATATTCCATCTGGATTTTCTGTCAGTTTACAAAGGAGAACATTGTTCATCATTGTAAGATCATATGTTCAAATCATAAAAGAAATACATCTTTGCAGATATTTCATTTTTATTTTATGAGTAAACTTCAGAATACTTCAATCGAATCTTACTTTCTAGTTCCTATACATATCTTAAAAGTAATAGTAAACTTTCTTCTATAATTTTGAAACTTACTATTGATGGTAAAAAAGAAAAAATTATATACTTTCAATTATTTAAAATTGATAAATGCAAAAGAAAACCGCAAACCGATATTTAAAATGATAAGGTAAAATCTATGAATATTTAAGTTCAGAATGCTCTTAAATTTCTGAATAGTTTTCTTTTTTATATTATTTTATTTTAATATTAAAAATTGCTGAGTAAAATTTAAGAGGATAACATTGATCCATGATTTTCCTCATATTTCTTCAATACTTTAAATACACTTTAAACATTAAAAACATTTTTTTAATGTTTCAAGCAATTCCTCGAGGCATTAATAACTTTCTTGTTTACGTGTTTCCACACATATGACTTACATTTAAAAAAATTCTACTTGACTTTAACCACGTAATTTTTTTTTCACTAATTCTTTCAAAAAATATTAATTTCAAAATTATAAGAATGATATTTTTTAATTTAATTCTTCTTCGATTTTGTAAAAAATTTATTTTTCTCTTCACTCTCTAGAAATACATCAGACACTTTGAAAGTATTACGACAATTATTTTCGTTTCAAACACACACAAAATTGTTTAAATTTAATAATTTTTAAATGTTCATTAAGCTTAAGAAATTAAAGTACTGTATAACTAATTAATAATTTATTCAAAAATAAGATTTATTCCTTATATTAAAATTAAAATTAACTTTAATACAAGTAAATTCACATAAAAACATAATGTTATAGTTAAAGTTAAGAGAATAAATTTTATTTTCATATTATTATTGTAAATTTACATAATGCGTTTTTTTAAAAGTATAATCATTCCGAGAGCTACAGTACATTAAAGAGTAAACAAATTAGATTTTCCTTTATTTATATAAAGTCAACATAGCTTAGTATCTACGAATTCACCTGCAAATCATTTAATAACGTAGACAACGCCCTACTCTGTTAATATTAAAAAACTTTCATAACTAGACGTTGTTTGTGAAACTGATTTTACTTATTCTCTAGTGGTCTGTAAGAAATATAATTTAAAATTATACGGGCGAAATATCAAAATATCATTTATTTTACAAATTATAACTTTAAAAAATATATATTTTTTTAATTTTATGTAATTTAAACTAACGATTTAAAATAATAATTTGCATTAATTTAATATAGTAAAAAGAATCTAAAATACCGATTAAATTCGACTAAAAATAGCAAATGTTCTTAAATTGTGTAATATTTGTATATAGGAAATGATTTCTATAAAAATAGCTTTATTTAACTTTGTAAATATTAAACAATATTTGAAAAAAATATAATTATGTAAATTATATTAATAATTTAATAAATTTTTTAGTTATAAGAAAACATCATTGCTATATTTACATTACAAAAGAGTGTGAAAACATCATGCTACCAGAAGTTAGGAGGTAGTCCAGAAAAAGAGAAGTTCAAAATTTACGATCAGGAAAACTCGATGCACAGATGGTTGGAGTTATTCTGATGCTGTAAAGCTATGGAGTACAACATAAAATCCATTTACAGTATATAGCCTTTCGAAAGAATAGTAGCTTAAAGGAAATGAAGGAAAGTGTTCTCAAAGAGTAAGGAGTTCTGAGGATGAAGTAAACTTGTCCATAATTGCTCACTACGATATCTTTACTTTCAGACTTTTCCTTTTAAGAAACGAATAATTCACCTCGGCAGTAAGAAAAAAAAAGACCTTATCCAATCCAATGTATTTCCATTAAGGAATGAAACATATAGATTTTACTTAATAAAATTTCATTTTAAGATTATAATTGATCATAAAGTATACGCCTCTATCTTAAATTTCAGATATTATATTAATTAATGTTTTAAAATATGACTTAACAATGCTATAAAAATTATTAATCTCATAAATACGCTAATGACTAATTATTTAAATTATAACTTAAATCGGATCGTCTTCTTAATAAATGATATTGCTTATATTACGCCCATGTCATTATCATATTACTAAATATATATGTTTGTCGAAACTATTATTTTAATTAAACGTAACGTTTACGACGGACATAAATACTACGACTCACCTGAAATTGTAGTAATAAGTGAATAGAAACGAAATTAATGAAGCAAAAATGAGACAAAGTTATTATTACAAAAATCAAATCAGACTTATGTACGGCTGACATTAGCAGAATCGAAAAGTGACAGCTTTTACTCCAACTTATCTATTTAAGATATCAGAGAGATTGAGCACACCTTTTCTACCATCCAATTTCATTGAACCTTAACTGATCATTAGTGAGGGAAATTGGTCCCCTAGTTGTCTTGTCAACCCCGCTGCACAGATGTACCTGACAAATGGTTCATTAAGTCCATTGCTAACTCTTGATTAGTTCAGCTGGGAACAACATTGAAAGTAAGGCGACAGCATAGGCGAATTGTGTATGTCTGCTCACAGCGCAGGCGCTCAGGTTAAGGAATACAGTGTTGGCTGACCACACTGCCAGTCAGTAGTATGAGTGAACGTCGATAGAGGACCGTTGCTACAACTTCTCATTCGGTTCTCTTCATCCCGTGTTTCTCTTACTATCAAACATTGTGTCTTTACAGATAACTTATCTCCGAACTATAGTGTGCCTGGACAAATGTGGTACAAATTGTGTTTAGTAGCGTTAATACTTATTTTCTATAGAGTGTGTGGTAAGTTCGATTTATTTCATTTAATAAAATTATTTTATTGAAAAATTTTAAGCGTGCGCGTTATATATCGTTACGAGACATTACGATAATTTTTTTTTCTTTGTTTCTTCAAGTAAATTTAGAAGCGCAGTTTTTAATTCATATATTTTAGAAAAAAATAATAATATAAAACAAATTTAGGAGCTTTTAAAACTTTATAAATTTATTTAATTCGTTATATTTTATTAGAATTTAAGGTGTATTTAGGATTTTTATAAGAGACATATTTTTAAAAGTTGAAAAAATGCGGCGAAAATAAATAAATAAAATTTATTATTTTTTTCCAGTATACAAAAGTTTAAATTTCCAAATTGCTATCTTGAAAAAGAACAATTTTGATGCAATATTTTACAATTAGATTATTTACCATAGCATCATTCATTTAAGTTTAGGTAAGGTTTCTAAGTATAAAGCTTATACAAACATATAAGGTCATTCTTTTTCTTTATTGCAATTTCCAGCAGCTATTACTCCGAAATGGTTTCTCAGAGAAAGTTACCTCTAATGCATCCCCAGTGTGTTTCCAAAGAATTTACACATGACAGGATTCTGCTTCATATAGGGAACTCTTGTCACAAACAGGTGGCTAGAGAGAAGTGTCACAGACTACTGCTTCAACGGCGTACACGGAATAATTTTCCTAGCTAGGTGCACCGGCATAGCAAACTTACCAGCTAGTAAATAGCTATGCACTATTTCCGTGTTTGAATCACCTTACATATTTCAATAGCGAATTTCTTTTAGTAGGTGTTGATAGCCCTTTCGTGTCCTTCTTGCAACATTTCTTAATATACTTTGTATCATCTCCTGTTATTTAAATAAGACCATAAATCAACTAGAAATGTTTGTAGCCATGTCTTTTTTTTTATTAATGGTTGACGCATACTTTGCCTCTTACATCGACCATGATTTAAACCAAAACGTTCTCTTACGGAATTTAAAGAGTTTAATAACAGAGTTATGAAAGGCTAAACTTTGTCACTTGTAGCTTTAGGCATTTAAAAATAAACGTTTAAAATTAAATTTCAAACCTTTTTAATTTATTGCAATTTAAAATAGAATTTAAACAGTTTAAGAGAACTCGCTGAATAAATTTCACTCGCATTATTTTCTTTTATTGATACAATTGAAAAGAATTTCAATGCAATATTATTCTATAATTTTTTCTCCAACTCAAAATTTTTATATGAATAAAATATTAATTCGTTTTCGTTTAAATTTGACTGTTTTATATATAAAATTATTATTTAAATTTTATATATTTATATTCAAGAATATAAATTGGCAATTAAAATTATAACTGCTTATGTTTTAAATTATATTTAAAAGCTAATTTACCTAAACATAATACGAATTGAAGATATAAAGAGAATTAATATATTTATTAAATATGATTTTTAACTTTCATTAAAGACGAATCGGAATAAATAAAATAAATCAATTGATGAGAAGGAAGAAAGTATTGTTTTTTTAATTCATATTTTTCTGTTATTTTTAAATTTTACATTTAAAGTTTTTTATAACTAATTTTAGTTTTTATCGTAGAAATTTTTGCATTTTCAAATTACATCTTTCTTAATTTTTAAAAATTTGACGGAGCTTCTGTGCAGTTTTCAAGAGCGGTTGTGGAAGAAATTCATACTTCAATTTTAAATGAAGTAATCAAGTGTAATCAAGAATGTAAATAAGAGAACAAAATATTGATCCTCTTGTATTATCCAATAATTATCGGTTATACAAAATTTCAGAAAAATAAGAAAAAAATTTTCAAGAAGGGGAGAAAAAAAATAAAACTAAGAACAAAACCGTCGATGAGGTGTGGCTTTATTCATTGACTGGTTAGAAATCGATACTTTGATGTCTTCTAACTTAAATTACCAAATAATGTATTTATAACTTAATAGGAAAGATTAAAAGTGAAGAAAACATCGATAAGAAAGAGAGAATTTAATTTATTTTTTTTCATTATAAAAAATTTCTTTCTTACAACAGGAGGAAGAAGGATGACAAACACAAATAGAAAGGGACCACAGTTCATACACGAGCCACCGAAACAAGTAGAATTTTTAAATACCACAGGTACAGTGATACCCTGTTCGGTTTATGGGAATCCCACTCCAATTGTAAAATGGGTTACCGAAGACGGAGCTTCTGTAACAGATGTCCGTGGACTAAGGCATATCCGTTTAGATGGTACTTTAGTCTTCCACCCTTTTCGTGCCGNGCTGAACAGTAAAAAATTCTCATTAAAAATAGGTGAAATGTTGTTATCGTTCTTATTGTAACAGTGCACAGTAGCTCGACAATTCTTATCTAGTGACAGCTATGAAGAATGAAGTCAGTGCTTCAGGCATGGATGAATATTACATTACCGGTCAACCCCTAAGGTATGCACGAAGCATTTGTTGGAAGGGTGATTAGTGTTATCAATAAGTTAATGTAAGTGCGATTCTGAGATTGTTAACGTGCGGAATCTAGGTTGATCGAGTTTGAAAAGGCATTTGCAATAATAAAATTACTCATTTTGTTGCCAAACGAGATGAAAAATATTACCGTTCAAAATGTTGTTCTCTTATTAAAATATTATCATCTCATCAATTGCAGTAGATCAGATAATTCTACTAAGTTATTAGTTATTACAATTTGTACGTTATATCTTTGATCTATAACGCTGCTGCGCTTGTTGATAATAATGGCTACATTAATAGATTTGTTATTACAAGAGACGAGTAAACAAATTTATTAAATTTATAATTTATAAATTACTAATTTATCCCAAGAAAATTATGTAGTACTTTTGAGTTTGCAAATTATATGAGTCGTAAATATTGAGGATAAAATTGCCATAATGTAAAAAATTTAATGACCAAAGATTTTTTAATCTAAATTACTTTTAATCTTGAAGAAATTAAAACTTAAATTTATATTTTCTCTAAAAATTATTTTTTTTTAACTAATGTAAAGAATTCAGTGAATAAATCAAGTCAACAAAATAGGAGCGTCTAATTGCGGTTGTTCCTTTGAGAGATTCCTTACTTTTTTACTGTAGAAGGCTTAAATCTACTTTTATAACCTTCGTGTCAGATAAAATCTATTGAAGATAATTTTCCTCTTTATCTAAGTCACGTAGAGTCCTTTATCCAGATTATAGAATATTTTTCACATTAAACAGTGCCGGACTTAAAAAGTATTAGACTACTAAACTAATTTTCAACTAAATTTTTTCTTGGATAATATTTTTCTTAAATTCTCACTTTATAAAAGAAGAAAAACGGATAGATCTATTATAAAAATTTTTAAATTTATTTTCTTCTACTTCTTTTCCACGGACTAATCTTAACTTAAATTTAAAAAAAAAAAAGTCAAAGTCCTTAGAGATTTCAAATTACTTATAGTTTTACAAGCTATCTTCGCTTTTAAGTTCAATATCGATGTAACATCTCAGTTGCAGGTACAGTATCCTCAATTGGATAATGCTTTGTAACTTTCATTCTTTAAAGATCAGAAGCCCTTAACTTCTAGCAATCGGCATCGTTTGTACTTTCGAATCTATCTTTCTAGGTTTTATTTTACCACATATTGAAGCTTAATTCGAAATTCCGTAATATTAGTTTGGAATTTTTTATAGTAAAGCATTACTCAAAACTACTATGTAACTTTTCAAGTTATTCACTCGACTGTAAGACAATTTATATTCATAGAATAAAAATAACCAAGTTTAAACTTTTTTTTTTGTTAATAATATCTAGTCAATTGATAATACTTAAGAGAAAATTAATCTAATTACACTGATGCAATTTTAGTACAAATATCATTTTATTAGAAATGAAATAAATCAGAGAAAATTGCTATGTTTTGTTTGTTATTAAATTGAATAAGAGCTTATTTTTCTTCCATTAACTGTTGAAATCTTATAAAGAAGTTTTATCAAATAATAAGTTTAACAACATATATAGAACCTAGTTTTATAACTATGTTCCTCGGTACATAATCGAATGCTTTTATATATATTAACAATAAATACTTTTAAAAACTCATTAAATGTAACGTAAATAAGATTTTTTGCGCTTATCTATAATTAAACATCACTTTAACGCACATAAAAAACATTAAAGTTTTTTTTAATAAAACCAAATATAGGGAAAAAATACTTCATTTTTTTGTTAGAATGATATTTAATGGATATTTTTTCTTTTTATCTCGTTTTAATATTTNTTGAAAGTGATTTCGACTTTAATATAATTTTAAAACCATGTTTATTACATATATTTTATTTTTATTTTGTGTAATGAGTTATCCATAAATCACTTTGTGTTCACTATATTGTATGCTTTAACTATTTATATGGACTTTCTGCTTACTCTACTCATACCCTTCAAGATTGATTCAACGATTTCCCATATTCTCTTAGAAATGTTTCTATTGATATTCCATCTGGATTTTCTGTCAGTTTACAAAGGAGAACATTGTTCATCATTGTAAGATCATATGTTCAAATCATAAAAGAAATACATTTTTGCAGATATTTCATTTTTATTTTATGAGTAAACTTCAGAATACTTCAATCGAATCTTACTTTCTAGTTCCTATACATATCTTAAAAGTAATAGTAAACTTTCTTCTATAATTTTGAAACTTACTATTGATGGTAAAAAAGAAAAAATTATATACTTTCAATTATTTAAAATTGATAAATGCAAAAGAAAACCGCAAACCGATATTTAAAATGATAAGGTAAAATCTATGAATATTTNTCTTGATGCTCTCCTTTATTTTAAGGATGAAATTTCTTTTTAAAATGATTTTTAAATTCGTTTTTTTAAGGATAATTTTTTTGTATAAAAGAAAAAGCCATGAATTAGAAACCAATTGAACTTTTTCGAAAATTTCTTTGATGCTAAGTGGAAAAAGCTAAAGACTCTTCTCTCCACTTCTAAGACTCTTGAAGTTTTCTTTTTCATCTTTCGAAATTCGGTACTGTATTTTTATTATTGAGAATTTGATCACGACATTAAATATTCAAGAAGTTAGTTATATGAAAAAATATACCGTTTCAAAAAGTTATTAATCTTTAAAATAAACATCAAATGCATTAATATTTTTAAAATTATTTTTTGATTTTATTTATCAGTTTGTTTGTTTATACAGTATATTGAATAAGTTATATTTGCTATACTTCCCGATGAACAAACATATTCATATTTGTAATTACAAGACTATTTTTAATTAAAATTCTTAAATATATATTGGACAATTATTTATTTTATTCATACGGTTAATTATGTTTTGTTGAAATTCATCTTTACGGAGCTTTGAAACAATCTTATTTATTGTTTTAATTATTTAATTTATAAATAAACATTAGCTGTTATTATTATTTTAATTTTATAGTAAACAATGAATAAAATAATGTACAATTTACAAATATTAAGTGAATAAAACTATTAATTCTTATTTTATTTAAATTACATTATTATATTTCAGATTTGAATTGATATAGGCCCATAAACAATTTATGAATATAAAAATAAATAAACAAATATTCATACTATCGATATTTATAATAAATAATTATATTTATAATGAAAAATGTTTTATTTTCTTATTTTTAGCTTTGTTAATGCGGTTATAAAAATGTTTTTGCTGTTTCACTTATGTGAAAGATATTGAATACAAATTTTATATTTAATAAACATATAAACAAAAATGACTTTTGTGATGTTCTAGCTTGCAGAGGAAGTATCTAGCACTAAGATAAGCCTATTACGTGTTAACGGATAGCATAATGTAACAACATTCTCTGCCCCGAAGTGTCGTTTCCCACTCATTATCTTCACAAGTTTCTGAAAGGCAACCCAAGGAGATAACGATGCTAAGAGATATTTTCTTCATATAATTTTATATTTCGATAATTGCTTCATAAGTACAAACTTTTCTCGCCGCATGCCTTTTTCTGCATTTATATCTTCGCATTTGATGGTTTGAAAAATTTACATTCTCTTCTCGTATTTACTTTTTTAATAAATATGTTAAGTTATACTAATGCTAACTCAATTTATATGGTTATTTTTTTATATATATAGGTATCACTACAGCTTTGGTTTTAAAATATAAAATGATGGGCAATTTATCCATTAAACTAAGAAATTTTTGCGTTTTTGGATAGAAAAAAACAAGAGGATAAAGCGGAATACAAAATTTATCATATCTTTTTTAATGAATTAGTATTGGTCTTTTGTGTAGAATACATTAAAGGGATTTATTTTCTTAAAATAAAAAACTCCTTCAATTTAGATTCTCTAAGGTTGCATATAGTAGTTAAATTTTTTTCTTGACTAAGCATCTGAGCTTTTCTGAATACTCTCGATTGGAGAATTCTTATTCAACAGCAATTTATCTCTCTTACCGAAATCTCTAGAGACCTTTTTCCCCCTGTCAACATAAGGCTTATCATCCCATACGTTTGTTTAACCTCTATTCTTAATTTCATTTGTAAAATTGAATAAAGTCGTCCGCATTTTCCATTTTCTGTATACAATAATTTTTTGATAAAATATATCAGATTATTTCAGTTTAAAGGTCTATTTTATATATTGTGATATATTATAAGTTAGCATGTGTTTTCTTTCCCTCCATTTCTTAAAAAAATTTCAAACGTCGTTCTTTTCTTTAAAAATAAAATTATATATTGTTTTTGTTTTTAAATATTTAAATAAATAAAATTTTCTGATTTAATTTATCTTTAATTATTTAATTATTATGTATAAAAATATAGTTGGAAACAGTAAACAAAACTGACGTTTCCTTTCATTCAAATAAAATTTTTAATAATGATTGAAATATATAAATTTTTCCTTCAATATAACCTTGAAATTCTACAAAAATATTAAAAAAATAAATGACTTATAAACTTCAACTCTTCTAAAAAAAACTTTTATTATTATTATTTTTGTTAAAGTTCTTTCCATATTTCTGCTGACATTTCAAAATGTCGATGTTACATGATTTCTAATATTTTCAGAACTAACAAATCGACCAACTTCGATATTTCAACGCGAAAAATATTTTGTATTAAAATAGAAAATCTCTGATAAAATAAATATGATAAATTTATATAAAATTGTACACTTAAAATAAAAATAAAAAATATATATGTGCGCGTGTGTGTTGGGTGAGATGACATCCGTGGCATTAGTTTATTTACATTGTTTAAGAAATAATTTCATTTCTTGTATACGCAAATAAAAAAAGAGCAAATATCGAAATGTTTAAACAGAAACATTACTTTAGTTTGGGAAAATCTTATAAAAAAAATATTTTCTTGAAGTGACAAATAGCTTTCATCGTTTCAAACCCCACATGTTCTATTATAAAACAAAATGGATAGGCTTTCCCCACTTCAAGATACATGGTTGTATGGTTTTAAACAGACACGTTACGTTTTTTGGATACTATTAGAATAACAAATATATCTTAGAATAGTTATCATATCAGATAGTAAAATCATCGTAGCAGTAAACATCATCAATGGTTTAAATAATACTACTTCAATTACATAGATATGTAATCGTTAAACAATCTACATCTCTGTACGTAAAAATACAAAAAGAAATCTTTTATTATTATAATTTTTATAATAGTAAAGAAAATTATATAAATATTTGATAAAACTACAATTAAATTTTTAAAACATCTATTTTTCTTTCATCAAAGTTACTCGGAACAAGAATTCTGAAAGAGAATCAACTAAAATGCAATCGATCTTAAAACCTCGTTACTTATGGATTCCGTTTTGAATTTCCGAAGAAATTTTGCATAGTCTTCTTTTACAATATCATTCTGCATATAAAAATGACAAATTTTAATGCATAAGGATGAAGGAGAACGTATTCGATCGCGATCCCTCGACATTCGAATTAATATAGTAATAAGACAATGATGTTTAAATTGGAGGATTTAAATGTAAAAGCCAAGTACATGCCAATATTGGATGAATAAAAATTTACCTGAAAGGAATTTGATTATTTTCCTGTTGCTATCTAATGGCTTGGAAAACATCTCAATTTATCTTTAGAACTTCTAAACATTTTTGACGATGTTTTCGTTCGAAACAATTTATCAAGTTTTCTAATGTGTAACGGATCAAATGCGTTAAGTATAATTAATTTCTTCCTTTTTTTTATTTTCTTTAAAACAAAGAATCGATGTTTTTGAAAAATTGAAAATTATTCTTCGAATATTTTTAATGAAAGGCTTAGTAGAAAAGAACACTCGTTGCAATAAATTAAATTTTTAGTTTATTACATATAAAATCTTATATTTTCTTTTCTTAAATTTCTCAAAAATAGAAAAAGACATCAAAAAAATTTGCATAATTTTATTTTATATTTCTCAAATAAAAATATTAGAGTAACTTTAAAAACATTTTAAATTATTAATGAAAAATCGACCTTTTAAACTTTTATTCTGATAAAATTTAAGGAATTAAAAAGTAATAATTGGATATATTTCTGTACAAAATTGAGATTACCCAGAAATTTTATACGACAAATCAGAAAATATTTTTTATTTATTTATTTTTTTTCTCCTTGTGTTACCTTATATTCTTTCAGGAGACGTTTTTCTTCGACGATGCAGTTTATCAGATCTAAATCTCCATTTTTGGATGATAAATTTAAAAATTTCATATTCGTAATATCTTATAATTTTTTTTCTATCGATAAGAATTTCTGCACGCGAAATTTCATATTCTCCTTTGTTATAAATAGCTAAGCATTTATTTTCTTTAACAACTTATACTTTTTTAATTTCTACTTGAAGATGCCAATTTAAACTTTATACATTTTTTTTTCTTAACTAAATTCGTTAACTTTTTAGTTACTTTAAAAATTCAATAATTCATTAAATAATAAAAAAAATTAATCATGAAAGAATATATTAAATGAATAAACTCAATATTTATCGAATTTATTGAGATTTTTCTGTAATTATTTGATGTTCATTAAGTTTATTGAGTTGTTAAACTCCAAAATCAAAATGAATTTTTGTGTAATGATTTTTAGTAAACATTATAAAAATTCGATTTAAAAATAAAATAGAGCAATTAATTAATATTTTTAAAAATTTATAAATTAAATCGATACAATTAAAAATTAATAAACAGAATGGGTTTTAACATTTATTTTAATTTCTATCATTATCTTTCGAATTGATGAAATCGAAAAGTGGATGAACTTATTAAGGATTTCATTAAAAATTTTTTGGATTCATAAGCTACTTTAAAATATATAAAAATAATACATATATATGTATTTTATACTTTAACTTTGAAGATATTTCGAAACTTTATTTTAGTAAGGGGGAGGAAGATGATATGGTAAAGTAAATACAACCCTGTATGATGGTTAGTATAGTATTCAGTAAACGAGACCCCTATCATCTATCTATTGGCCGTAAATCACAAATAAATTTGTCCACTTTAGTGGCTAGTAAGAAAGGCATAACAGAATTCGAAGTCACATCTGTACGTTGGGTAGCATCTGAGGCCTTTGGCGATGTGCCAACAACTGAAATGTCCTCGTACATCCAACCAAAAGCTGTAACAGTATATTTGTCACATATAATGCTCAGATAACAACTTCCTGTACCAGCTGTTTACAAGTTACAAATCATTATAATTAAAACAGATCGTAAAGATTAATGAATTGTTAAGGATATCCGTTTAACTCTAACTAGTCTTTTAAATTGTTTACTTGTAACTGTGGGATATCGTAGATAAAATTAATTATATTAATACGTTCAACAATTAAAACGTGGTAACATATAAGTATTATTTTTAGAAAGATGCTTAGTTACATTTGTGAAAACACGAATTTTATATTTAAAGAATAAATAATTATAATATATCTTGATATATTAATTAATATTAAATGAAATTTGTTTTAATTTTTAAAATTTTAATATTTAAAAATAAAGTTATAAAATTATATATATATATTAATTAAGTGTATGTAATATATTTTTATATTTTTTAAATAAATAAATATATTTAAAATTTATTAAAAATAAAGAAATTAATTTAAAATTTCGTATAAGAAATATTTTTGATTGATTTGTTTAGTTACTTCTTAATTTTTACGATAAAAAATGCAAATATTTTGATTAATAATATTTAAAAACAGTAAAATGGAATTTAAAAAAGTGCTAAAACTCCCTTCTAGCAAATGAATAGATTTTTAAATTATTAAATAATTATCAAGCATAATAATTAAATTAGTTTTAAAATATTTTCAAAATAAAAAATTGAAAACATGTTCAAGACTTAATTAAAATTGGAATTTATTGTTATTAATCTCTACTATATGGAATTAAAACTATTTAATATTTAACTGTTTAATAGTTACAAAGAAATGCCTCAAATGAAAGGAAACGTTTCTGTAATTGTAAATTAAGAATTAATAAAAACGATAATTTATTTTTAAGAAATTTTAATTTATATTTTTTATAATTTTTCATATTTATGATTTTTTATATCTTTAAAATAAGCCGCATTTATGGTAAACAAATTCAAACCGTTAACTCAAAAATTTTTGATCGATTTTAGGGAATTTCACACTTTAATAATATCATATTTGGAGGAAAAAACAACTTTTCGCCAAACCTGATTCAGTTATTAAATATCACAGAAAGTAAATTTTCCTTATTTAACAACCGCTTTTTAAGTAAAAATATTTTAAAAACAGAAAAACATTGATTTATTTTAAAATCTCTAGATTTTTTAAGATTTATTATTATGAAAATAAACAATATTTAACTATAGAATTCAATACAGTCTTATATTTAAATATTAAACTTATAGCCTATATTTCTTATTCTGTATCTGTAGTATAAAAACACAATTGAAGGTTTTCACATGTTCTTCACGCCGTTACCTAGTGCATGCTTTCTGAACTCTTCAATCGAAGCATACAGTTAGATGTTTGATGTCTCTAGTGGGAATTACCTTATCTTTACAAACATACTACAACGGATTCACGATTTCTCAATAGGTCTTTCATCAATATCATTTCCTTGAATTTTTTACTACATATAGTTTTATATATATGAATTTTTATTATGTAAAATTCGAACAATTTCAAAATAAAATATAAGAAAATTTATATAAAAATTAGACTTGAAGAAACGGTTCCCTTTAAATATTAACGCGACAATCTTTGCAATTGGTGTTGCAGTTTTAATAAAACGGAAAATATTTTATTATTTTTATTTTGTTTTAATACTAATAAATAATTTGAAAGTGATTTCGACTTTAATATAATTTTAAAACCATGTTTATTACATATATTTTATTTTTATTTTGTGTAATGAGTTATCCATAAATCACTTTGTGTTCACTATATTGTATGCTTTAACTATTTATATGGACTTTCTGCTTACTCTACTCATACCCTTCAAGATTGATTCAACGATTTCCCATATTCTCTTAGAAATGTTTCTATTGATATTCCATCTGGATTTTCTGTCAGTTTACAAAGGAGAACATTGTTCATCATTGTAAGATCATATGTTCAAATCATAAAAGAAATACATTTTTGCAGATATTTCATTTTTATTTTATGAGTAAACTTCAGAATACTTCAATCGAATCTTACTTTCTAGTTCCTATACATATCTTAAAAGTAATAGTAAACTTTCTTCTATAATTTTGAAACTTACTATTGATGGTAAAAAAGAAAAAATTATATACTTTCAATTATTTAAAATTGATAAATGCAAAAGAAAACCGCAAACCGATATTTAAAATGATAAGGTAAAATCTATGAATATTTGAGTTCAGAATGCTCTTAAATTTCTGAATAGTTTTCTTTTTTATATTATTTTATTTTAATATTAAAAATTGCTGAGTAAAATTTAAGAGGATAACATTGATCCATGATTTTCCTCATATTTCTTCAATACTTTAAATACACTTTAAACATTAAAAACATTTTTTTAATGTTTCAAGCAATTCCTCGAGGCATTAATAACTTTCTTGTTTACGTGTTTCCACACATATGACTTACATTTAAAAAAATTCTACTTGACTTTAACCACGTAATTTTTTTTCACTAATTCTTTCAAAAAATATTAATTTCAAAATTATAAGAATGATATTTTTTAATTTAATTCTTCTTCGATTTTGTAAAAAATTTATTTTTCTCTTCACTCTCTAGAAATACATCAGACACTTTGAAAGTATTACGACAATTATTTTCGTTTCAAACACACACAAAATTGTTTAAATTTAATAATTTTTAAATGTTCATTAAGCTTAAGAAATTAAAGTACTGTATAACTAATTAATAATTTATTCAAAAATAAGATTTATTCCTTATATTAAAATTAAAATTAACTTTAATACAAGTAAATTCACATAAAAACATAATGTTATAGTTAAAGTTAAGAGAATAAATTTTATTTTCATATTATTATTGTAAATTTACATAATGCGTTTTTTTAAAAGTATAATCATTCCGAGAGCTACAGTACATTAAAGAGTAAACAAATTAGATTTTCCTTTATTTATATAAAGTCAACATAGCTTAGTATCTACGAATTCACCTGCAAATCATTTAATAACGTAGACAACGCCCTACTCTGTTAATATTAAAAAACTTTCATAACTAGACGTTGTTTGTGAAACTGATTTTACTTATTCTCTAGTGGTCTGTAAGAAATATAATTTAAAATTATACGGGCGAAATATCAAAATATCATTTATTTTACAAATTATAACTTTAAAAAATATATATTTTTTTAATTTTATGTAATTTAAACTAACGATTTAAAATAATAATTTGCATTAATTTAATATAGTAAAAAGAATCTAAAATACCGATTAAATTCGACTAAAAATAGCAAATGTTCTTAAATTGTGTAATATTTGTATATAGGAAATGATTTCTATAAAAATAGCTTTATTTAACTTTGTAAATATTAAACAATATTTGAAAAAAATATAATTATGTAAATTATATTAATAATTTAATAAATTTTTTAGTTATAAGAAAACATCATTGCTATATTTACATTACAAAAGAGTGTGAAAACATCATGCTACCAGAAGTTAGGAGGTAGTCCAGAAAAAGAGAAGTTCAAAATTTACGATCAGGAAAACTCGATGCACAGATGGTTGGAGTTATTCTGATGCTGTAAAGCTATGGAGTACAACATAAAATCCATTTACAGTATATAGCCTTTCGAAAGAATAGTAGCTTAAAGGAAATGAAGGAAAGTGTTCTCAAAGAGTAAGGAGTTCTGAGGATGAAGTAAACTTGTCCATAATTGCTCACTACGATATCTTTACTTTCAGACTTTTCCTTTTAAGAAACGAATAATTCACCTCGGCAGTAAGAAAAAAAAAGACCTTATCCAATCCAATGTATTTCCATTAAGGAATGAAACATATAGATTTTACTTAATAAAATTTCATTTTAAGATTATAATTGATCATAAAGTATACGCCTCTATCTTAAATTTCAGATATTATATTAATTAATGTTTTAAAATATGACTTAACAATGCTATAAAAATTATTAATCTCATAAATACGCTAATGACTAATTATTTAAATTATAACTTAAATCGGATCGTCTTCTTAATAAATGATATTGCTTATATTACGCCCATGTCATTATCATATTACTAAATATATATGTTTGTCGAAACTATTATTTTAATTAAACGTAACGTTTACGACGGACATAAATACTACGACTCACCTGAAATTGTAGTAATAAGTGAATAGAAACGAAATTAATGAAGCAAAAATGAGACAAAGTTATTATTACAAAAATCAAATCAGACTTATGTACGGCTGACATTAGCAGAATCGAAAAGTGACAGCTTTTACTCCAACTTATCTATTTAAGATATCAGAGAGATTGAGCACACCTTTTCTACCATCCAATTTCATTGAACCTTAACTGATCATTAGTGAGGGAAATTGGTCCCCTAGTTGTCTTGTCAACCCCGCTGCACAGATGTACCTGACAAATGGTTCATTAAGTCCATTGCTAACTCTTGATTAGTTCAGCTGGGAACAACATTGAAAGTAAGGCGACAGCATAGGCGAATTGTGTATGTCTGCTCACAGCGCAGGCGCTCAGGTTAAGGAATACAGTGTTGGCTGACCACACTGCCAGTCAGTAGTATGAGTGAACGTCGATAGAGGACCGTTGCTACAACTTCTCATTCGGTTCTCTTCATCCCGTGTTTCTCTTACTATCAAACATTGTGTCTTTACAGATAACTTATCTCCGAACTATAGTGTGCCTGGACAAATGTGGTACAAATTGTGTTTAGTAGCGTTAATACTTATTTTCTATAGAGTGTGTGGTAAGTTCGATTTATTTCATTTAATAAAATTATTTTATTGAAAAATTTTAAGCGTGCGCGTTATATATCGTTACGAGACATTACGATAATTTTTTTTTCTTTGTTTCTTCAAGTAAATTTAGAAGCGCAGTTTTTAATTCATATATTTTAGAAAAAAATAATAATATAAAACAAATTTAGGAGCTTTTAAAACTTTATAAATTTATTTAATTCGTTATATTTTATTAGAATTTAAGGTGTATTTAGGATTTTTATAAGAGACATATTTTTAAAAGTTGAAAAAATGCGGCGAAAATAAATAAATAAAATTTATTATTTTTTTCCAGTATACAAAAGTTTAAATTTCCAAATTGCTATCTTGAAAAAGAACAATTTTGATGCAATATTTTACAATTAGATTATTTACCATAGCATCATTCATTTAAGTTTAGGTAAGGTTTCTAAGTATAAAGCTTATACAAACATATAAGGTCATTCTTTTTCTTTATTGCAATTTCCAGCAGCTATTACTCCGAAATGGTTTCTCAGAGAAAGTTACCTCTAATGCATCCCCAGTGTGTTTCCAAAGAATTTACACATGACAGGATTCTGCTTCATATAGGGAACTCTTGTCACAAACAGGTGGCTAGAGAGAAGTGTCACAGACTACTGCTTCAACGGCGTACACGGAATAATTTTCCTAGCTAGGTGCACCGGCATAGCAAACTTACCAGCTAGTAAATAGCTATGCACTATTTCCGTGTTTGAATCACCTTACATATTTCAATAGCGAATTTCTTTTAGTAGGTGTTGATAGCCCTTTCGTGTCCTTCTTGCAACATTTCTTAATATACTTTGTATCATCTCCTGTTATTTAAATAAGACCATAAATCAACTAGAAATGTTTGTAGCCATGTCTTTTTTTTTATTAATGGTTGACGCATACTTTGCCTCTTACATCGACCATGATTTAAACCAAAACGTTCTCTTACGGAATTTAAAGAGTTTAATAACAGAGTTATGAAAGGCTAAACTTTGTCACTTGTAGCTTTAGGCATTTAAAAATAAACGTTTAAAATTAAATTTCAAACCTTTTTAATTTATTGCAATTTAAAATAGAATTTAAACAGTTTAAGAGAACTCGCTGAATAAATTTCACTCGCATTATTTTCTTTTATTGATACAATTGAAAAGAATTTCAATGCAATATTATTCTATAATTTTTTCTCCAACTCAAAATTTTTATATGAATAAAATATTAATTCGTTTTCGTTTAAATTTGACTGTTTTATATATAAAATTATTATTTAAATTTTATATATTTATATTCAAGAATATAAATTGGCAATTAAAATTATAACTGCTTATGTTTTAAATTATATTTAAAAGCTAATTTACCTAAACATAATACGAATTGAAGATATAAAGAGAATTAATATATTTATTAAATATGATTTTTAACTTTCATTAAAGACGAATCGGAATAAATAAAATAAATCAATTGATGAGAAGGAAGAAAGTATTGTTTTTTTAATTCATATTTTTCTGTTATTTTTAAATTTTACATTTAAAGTTTTTTATAACTAATTTTAGTTTTTATCGTAGAAATTTTTGCATTTTCAAATTACATCTTTCTTAATTTTTAAAAATTTGACGGAGCTTCTGTGCAGTTTTCAAGAGCGGTTGTGGAAGAAATTCATACTTCAATTTTAAATGAAGTAATCAAGTGTAATCAAGAATGTAAATAAGAGAACAAAATATTGATCCTCTTGTATTATCCAATAATTATCGGTTATACAAAATTTCAGAAAAATAAGAAAAAAATTTTCAAGAAGGGGAGAAAAAAAATAAAACTAAGAACAAAACCGTCGATGAGGTGTGGCTTTATTCATTGACTGGTTAGAAATCGATACTTTGATGTCTTCTAACTTAAATTACCAAATAATGTATTTATAACTTAATAGGAAAGATTAAAAGTGAAGAAAACATCGATAAGAAAGAGAGAATTTAATTTATTTTTTTTCATTATAAAAAATTTCTTTCTTACAACAGGAGGAAGAAGGATGACAAACACAAATAGAAAGGGACCACAGTTCATACACGAGCCACCGAAACAAGTAGAATTTTTAAATACCACAGGTACAGTGATACCCTGTTCGGTTTATGGGAATCCCACTCCAATTGTAAAATGGGTTACCGAAGACGGAGCTTCTGTAACAGATGTCCGTGGACTAAGGCATATCCGTTTAGATGGTACTTTAGTCTTCCACCCTTTTCGTGCCGAAGAATATAGACAGGATATCCACGCTATTGTATATCGTTGTACAGCAACAAATAGTGTGGGTACTATAGCAAGCAGGAACGTTCAAGTCAGAGCAGGTGAGTGAAAATATCTCGGAATTTTGTAATATTACACAACAAAATATCTGATAAATTATTAGAGATATATTTGTAAAGTATATAAATATACAAGTTATTTGTTTATATTATGTTATTTAATATAAAATATCTTTAAAATAATAATAATATCGTTATAAAATTAAAGTTGAATGAATAAATAAATGTAGTATAAATCTTTAAAAATTAATTTTATATAAAAGTAATTTTTAAAGTAGATATATTATGCAAATAAGTTAAAATAATTAATAATTTACAAAACAAAAATAATAAAATTATTTGCATTTTTTTGACG